CCCCCCCCCCCCCCCCCCCTATCCTCCGCTCTGCCCATAGCATACGGGTGCCTTCACGCTCGCAACCATGGGACAACCCCGACAAGATCGAAGGTGGCCTGAACGGGATCGGACCGGACGGAAGGCCCATCGTCCCCGAGCGTTTCCGACCACGCGAACCGTTCCTACTCGTGAAAGCGGACGAGGTACACACGTTCGACGCGGGCCATCGTGTGGAGAAGCCACACGAGAGAGCCGACTGTGGTCCGGCTAGAAGGCGGCGCGTGATCCAGGTATGAGCTGTGCTGAGTGTGTCGAGTGTTGCGTATGGCAGCTTCTATTCTCGGAGCACCGTGTATCCAAGTGTAGAGTTTTCGCTCGGCGCGATCGGTTGTCCCGGAGGTACACGTATGCAGCAGTTCGTGCGACTTGGCTCAATCCAGCAACACTCAACGAGGGCTTCGTAGGCGAAGTACACCCGTGGTATACGTGCTCCGTGGTAAAGGTGCTTGAAACCGATGACCAGCAGCAAATAAAATGCTCTGTCCCTTTTCGTCGATGTGCGTTTCTCCTCGCCAACACCAACGTTGTATGAGAAAGCGCCAAGCGGGGGTGTTCATTCTCCGAGACTGGGTGACAGGGCTCGCAATGTTTCATGGTGTAGACTAGACTAAAGTTCTACACGTGACAAAGGAGAAACGACGTGTACAAGAAAGTTCAAAAGCAGTAGCCACTCCAGCCGTACATGCTTTCATGCATGGCATAACGTGTTGTCGCATGGATTGTCCAGACTTGCTGCAACAACAATAACAGCAGCAACGACAACAACAACAACAACAACAACAGCAACAACCACAAAAAACTACAACAACAACGAGAACAACAACGAGAACAACAACGGAAGGTTACCACTTGGACAATATCGCAGGAAAACATGCGTGCCAGAGTGCAAGTGCAGGAGGACTACCTGGCGGGCCTTGAGCAGGACCGGCGGGAGTGGCGGCGGTATCAGGTCCAGGCCGTCAAGATTAAGAGCGTAGCGGTCAAGCAGAAGCGGTTAAGGATGCGCCTCGCGTACGGTACCGATCTGTCCGACGGTATTGGGAGTGACATGTGAGCGACGAGGCAATGGTTGGCCCGTCTACCGGTCTTCAAGGGAGTTGTCCTCGCGCTCGCTGTTCGAGAAAGAACCTCGCATAGAGAACAGTGCTGTGAACAAGCCTTGCCCACGGAGCAACAAAATGGCCCGATGGCTTGAGCGTTGGTAAGTCGAAATATGTTACTGCCCGTGACCCGAGCCTTCTGTTCTAACGTTGATCTTACATACCCATCTGTTAATGCTCGTTTCTCCGCACTCGTTGCCTTGCGCAGAACGTCTTGTGCCCCGGAATTCGAAGAGTTACGACGGGAGAAACAGGAGTTGGCCCGTGCCTGGCGAGCGGTTCGACAGGCTGAGCTCAAGGCGAACGGGGAGTCTGCAAGGGTGAGTGGGCTGGTGTTGGACGAAGGCACCGATGGATTGTTCAATCAAACGTGTCATGCGTTTGTGTGTGTTCTACGTCAGAAAAACTCTCCACAATACACGCAGTTAGACGTTAAGTTATCACACACCAACAACCTGTAGAATCTCACGGAATCAACTCTGGACCAAACGTTGTTGAGGTTAGACGACTGTGCCTCTCGTATCAGAGATTTGCTCTGTCTTTTTGTTTACGCTGAACCCTTGCCCTTGCCCTTGCCCACCCTCAGAATGTACACCGAGGAGAAACAAAAGCGGGAAGATTTCAGTCACCCTACGGCAACCCTAACAAAAGGGTTCCCGACAACACCAACTAGGGGCAAGAATAAATGAGTGAAGCAAGTCTATGCTCAACACATGTCAACGGCATGGACGAGTAGATAAATGTTTTATTCGGTCTAGCAGGTGGGCCGGAGGTCCATGCTTGTGTGGAGCAAGTGTGGGTGACCTAACCTAACAACAGCAGTGCTTTCCGTCATCATTACCAGACAAATGTTCATGTGGCGATGATGCACTAACCACACGGGGAAACCCTCTGCCACTCCTCCTCAACGCTCATGCTCGGAAGATGCGTCGGTGGGAAAAAGAGGTGCTGAGAACCATTCGCGCCGAGACGTCCAAGTCTCTATCAACTCCCGGAACGTCCTTCGAGCGCGAGAACGCGACACGTAGTGGGGGCGACCAAGAACTGGCGCGCGCTCTACACCAGCTTTCTGTGCAGCATGCCGTCGATGGATACACCCAACCCTCACCTGAGTACGGGGGTAAGAACTCCGGGAATGGTGAGGAGGGGAAAGGGCCAGAGGTGGCCCCGGCTCCGGGGGGCGACGGGGGAGCGGGAGTGCAAGGAGAGCCAGCGGTGTGCGGAGGCTCAGCCGAAGCAACGGTGCAATTGTTCCGACCTTTTCTCGTTGGTGACGGTGAGGCGGAGACGGACCGAACAACAACACAGCAGTTTCAGCGTAAAACGGCGAGCGCGGGAGGGGTTGAAGCGGCACGTGGTAGTAGCGTGGTACGGTTGGCGGGGAGCACGAAATCGGGGGCCGCGCGGACCGAGGTGGGGGGTGCCACGGCAGGTGGGTGCACAAGAGCACCGGCAGCGAGCGAGGAAAAGTCACAAGCCGAGGAAGCGGAAAAAGGCGACGAGGCTATCAAGAACATGGTGGAGAAGTTGCTCCGAACGTCCAGCTCTGTGGCGCTTGCGGTGGCCAGGCCCTTGAGTATCAAGCCGCCACCGGTTTTGGAGGCGGAAGAGGATCCGCATCAGGTATGTCGTGCGGCATACAGTACATATCCGGCGTCGGACACATACACACACCAGTTCGCCCCGGCTGCTGATGTCGTCCTTCTGCGCCTACTCGCGTATTGCTGATGAAGTGTGTGCATTCCAAATCCTCCGTAGTCACCGGGGGTGGGTGGAGGGTCCATTGTAGATGTCAAGCCAGACGGTCTGCCGACCAAGCAGCCAGTGTGTGTGACCACGAAGATGGGAACAGTTGGCACCAGTTTTTCGAAAAAGCTCTGGCACTACGTACTTTGCACGGGCCAAGAGCATCAACCAGCCGTCCCAGACAGAGACGATTTTGACGGCGATGGAGGTGTCGAAGAGGCAGAACCCCGAGAGCAATACCGGGGTTCGGTGTCCCACGTAGTATCAGCTGTAGGGGCGAACTTGGCTTCAGAACCGAACCATGTAGCCAATATTTCACTCGTGCCAATCGTCGGTGCCTATCTCCCCCTCCCCGCTCCCCGGTGCTCCCCTACTGGTGCGTTCGGATCATGGTATGCATAGGTCAACCTAGCCTCCCGTATTCGATCACGCAAACCTAAGTTTCCTCCGCTACCACGCGCCAAGTCGGGACGGGCCTTCGTCGGCGGCGGCTACAGGACGAACCCGTCGACGCCGTCACAACGTGTCAGTAGTAGTGAGTGTAGAGGCAACAAATTCCTGGAACAGGAACCGTTCGAAACATACGTTCCTGATGGTAGTGGTGTTGATGTTGGCGGTGGCGGTGGCAGAGTAGCAGCTGTTACGGCATCGTGTTTGAGCCCGAACGTCAACGGCGTGGGACGCAAGGGTACCAATCGACGGGAATCAGGGGAAGCAACAGGGGGAGGAATCCTTGATCTCCAGGCCGTTACCGAAGCGGCTGGGCGCTTGAATGGGACCGGTAGGCATAGCCCGTCTTTGGTAAATCGGATGCCCAATAACCCTCGAAATCGCTTCGCGCCCATGGCGGAGAGCGAGGTAGCAAGGTTTCTCAAGCAAGGGAACGACCGGTACCTCTCCAGTGCCGCAGGGGGCGGCGCGGGGGGAGGACACGAGATCATCGGCTTGAATGAGGACCATGGCACCACTGCCGCTGCCGCTGCCGCTGCCGCTGCCGCTGCCACCGCCGGGGGCCCCGGCACCGGAATCGGTAGGCGGTTGCTGGTGGTCGGGGAAAGTACCGGGCGAGACGGAGATGGTGCTCGTACAGTATTGGTGTCAGCAAGTGAGGATGCACGACTTTTCCGACCAAGTGCTACCCCACTTGACGGGTGGCAGACGAACTAATTTTCGACGACGGGGAACGAGCGAAGAGAGCGGTCGTAGCCTTCCTAAGCCCTATGCAGGAGGGAGGCGTAGGGGCGCGTTCGGTCGTAGCCATTTTGAAAGCTAAGTGGGTCCGCGTAGGAATCTATTCTGGTTCGGTCGTATAACGATTTTTAACACTTCGTGGGTCCGCGTTTCCGGCGACCATCAGGTAAGTGTATTTTCACCGCGAGCGAGGGCGGACGCGATCGGTTCGCCGAAACTCTCGGTGGGTGGAGGAACCAGACAGACAGAAATACCGGGCTCATTCGTGGTCGTACAGGTCGGGCGGGAAGGAGCCAGTTCTTGTGACTACGCGGGTCTCTACCTTCTTGCGGGAGCGAGACGTGGGGGGGGCGTTGAGTAGTGGGTCAGCGGTGGCTCGTGCAACACCTGGTCCGGCGGGACGCTTCTGTGCAGGCCGAGCTACACCCTTTCGCTTCGCTCTCTGCTTGAAGGCACGCTGGCTTTAGGCTTGTTCGGCTGTTGTTGTTGTTGTTGTTGTTGTCTTCACATTAAACCGAATGTCAGTTGCCAAATGCCAAAATCTAGCAAAAGACTCTCAGCCCGTGGTCACGAAAGTGCTAGAGCCATCTGAGGATCTAAAGAACACGCACACATAAAACGAGAAAAAGGTATCCAAGAGCCCGAAGAGGTACACCTAAAAATCCCTGCAGCACCGTATGCGTGCCCAAAAACTGAACTGCACGTCCGTCCCACCGTTCGACTACAGTAGCATCACCCCCTCCCTGTCCCACTCCATACCAAAACGGAAGATTGCCGACTACAGCATACTGCTGTCTGAAGTGCTGTCTGTACAAAAACACAATGGTAGGCATGGAACAAGCAGCTGGCGGGGCACAAAGCTGCTGTCTGAAGTGCTGTCAGAATGTGTCTGCGGCCGTACAGTGAAAAAGAACAACCAACCAAAGCCATCATAGCAGCAATTGACAATCACCCGAATCTCTCCCGATCGTCTGTGT